ATATTATATTATATTATATTATATTATATTATATTATATTATATTATTATAAGATGTTAGCTTCATAATAATGTCAAGACAACAGCTTGAACGGTAAGCTGAAGACAGGATCACAGGTAAAATCAGTCACCAGAACACTGTGCTAATATGCTAAATTATTAAACGTTTTCATATATAACTTATTGGAATCGCTCAAAGCATGTGGGAAGAGTCAAGTGTTGAGAAACGTATGGAAAAAAAGACTATAAAAGACTATAAAATACAGAAGCCCTGCACAACCTCCTTAACTAACAAACAATACCTGTCAGATGTGAACATCAGAGTCGGTAGTTATTGTTAATAGCACAAGTTTTCACCAACTCCATGTGTCAGTTGGATATTAATGCAACAAAATGAAACAAAACGCAACACAATTTCAACCATCTGGATACCTGGCAACAGAAGCGAGCACTTCCTATCCAGGTGGGCTCTAATCTTGTTCAGGGACTTCGTCTGCTTTATAAATACAGGACGCCAGCTCAGACAAAAAATACCCAATAAACCACAAAGGAAGAGCGATGTGTTTATACAGCTTTGTTTAATGACTGTCTGATACCTGCCAGCAAGACTTTCATCACTGCACCCAAAATGGGTTACAAATCCTGCTGTTAACATGGCCAGAGATTGGTGAATTACAGCTCGTGCTGTCTTTCAGTGTACACAAAGGAGAATGCTGCTCTCAGTAAGTGAGTGAATTCATGGCATTCCAGCTGGCTTATCTGGCTGCATCTGCATGGACTGAGCCAGACGGCAAGCTGCCTTTGGACCAGCCTGTCGCCGCCCTGCATTTAGCCCCTTCAAACAGGGCTCTGAGTGTCCACGCATGTAGGTGTGTGAGCTAAACAGAGCCCAAAGCCAGAGCATTGCTGATTACCTGTAGATTAGTGTTTGGCTGCATTGGGATTCGAGTGGGGTCTCACCTTTCCCATCCCCGGGTTCTCTTTCACTTTGGACACGGCTCGGAGCAGGCATGGCGGGGCAGGCGGCGGCGAGACCTGCAGGATGCCGCTGAAGTTGGTCGGGTAGATGGAGGGCTCCTGCGGATGGAGCAGCGAGGGCTGGTGTTTCTTCCGCTTGGAGGAGAGATTCAGCTTCTGTGCTGCCCTGGAACAGTGAGTCAACATACAAGACATTTAAGGACTATGGACATTTTACTTGAGGAACCAGGGTGATCACTTACACTGTGCAATACCGCCATGATATCTATTAGGCTAGTTTTCTTTCAGCTTGCGATAGCAATCAAAGTCAAAATTAATTCCCAACTTGTAACTTAAACATACACGTTTCAGCTTACTACTTCAACTAGTAATGGTGACTAAAAAAAACAACATGAACAGAAGAATAAAACACCAGCCAGGGCTCTTTGTCTGTCAGCAGACTAATGCAGGCTGTCGTAGCACTAAGACACAGCGAATATATCTACTTAGCATGACCAAGCAGAAAATTCTGTCATGGACATGACAGGTAAGGACAGCTGAACCATTACCATCTGGGACAGATATGTTGTCTCTCTTAGATTATCTAATTAGTTGTGACAAAGTATGTTTACCTTTGATTTTAGATTAAGCTGAAGCATGTGCACAACATCAGGACGTTCAATCATGGTGTAAAAACCCTTAGATAGAAGCCAGGTATGTAAACGGCTTCAATGGTGCCAACATAAGACAGGTCACCAAGCAGAGGCCAGAGTGAGAGTCTGACTTTTTGACAGTCCCCTAATTAAAATCTACCCTCGCCCGACCAGAGGGCAGAGTCATCCCAAAGTCAGCTGTGCAAGTTACATGCACTCCTTTCCGTCCTTCAACTCAAAGGACAGCACCAATATCTTTGCAGGGTCCATAGGGAATCTCATAAGACTTTGAGTGGTTCCAGGTATGGCATCGCCCTGGATCAGCTAACACACCTCAGCCAGCGATTCAAGGTCAGCGAAGAATGTAATACCCCAAGGAAATTCTAAAGCACTCAAATGGTTTTCACTCGGGCAGTCAGATTTCAGAGAAATACAGGGAGGACAAAGAGGTGGTTGTTAAGTGGAGGAATGAGTGGCTATGGGAATTAAAGAAGATTGGTGTAAAAAAAAAAGAGAGAAAAACCTGAAGAGCAAGGGATTTGATGGGAGGATAAAAGATGCAGCGGATGAGAAAAAAAAATAAAAAAAGGGGAGCAAAAATCGTAGATCCGGATAAGCAGCAATTTCCTCAGAAGTCAGGCTCGGCTCATTAGTCCCTCTCTGGGCTCCTCCGGACAGGGGTGGGTGGGCCGATGCCAAAATCACAACTCCATTCCCTTTCCCCTCTCCCCTGAGTGACAACCTAACCCCTGCCTCAGCTACACCCCTCTCCAGCGCACCCCCCCCGCAGCGACAGCCCAAGAGCACAATCATGGAACACACTGCTGGCTGATGGAATAATTATTGCATCCAAGGAGGCTACAGGAGAAGGCTCTCCCCGGGGAGCTGCCTATGTGTGAGAGCATGCGAGACGGATCGTGTGACTGGAAAAAATTAAATGGAAAAGATGGATGCGAGGCAGAGAGGAGGAAAGGGGGAAACTACAAGGGTCCACGTGGTTGTGTGCGGGTGTGTGCGCGAGAAAGTGAGGCGAGTGACATCTGCAAGTGCATGCACAGGAGAGGTCCGCAGCACATACGCTAAAGACAAATCTAGCCTGTCTCGCTGTATCCCACTCTCACTCCCTCTGTCTCACCTCATTCTGTCTTTTCTCTTACAACAAAGACATAAATCAGCTGTCACCAACCACCCAAAGACCCCCCGCACAGGAAAGAAGACACTGAACTGATTTGTAACTGTCTTGACCAGCGGGGAGTGTCCGCACCACAAAGCTGAGCTGGTCACCTTGCCGGTGAATTTGGGCTGCACAGTGAGAGTTTTTGCACACGCACGCTCATGAATGAAAGACGAGGACGTAAGAATGGTCTTAGCTGCTTTTTTCATTAACTGCAATTAGACAGGGTGAATAAGTGCTTATCTCTTTTCCTTCCCTACCCTTCCTCTCCTCCTTCTTCCCCTCTTCCTGCCCCACGCAACTGTATGATCGGTTGTTGGAAAAAAGGCACAAATAGGCTTACATTTCCTTAGCTGTCAACAGCTTGGTCACCTGTTCCACACTCCCTAAAAATTACAATGCTTCCTTACAAAACTTGGGTTTTTATTGCTCCAAGTTAAATCTGCATGTCAAGAAAAGCAAGCCTCAGGAAAATTTGGAAATATTTACAGACCATAAGTGCTTTTTGAAGCTTAGTATTTCTTCTAACATGCATTAGTAAAAACATGCTGCAGTTAAGTACTTACAACTCTTTCCAATCCATTATCTAGTTTATGCTAGTCAGAAAAGAGACAACTGATAGAGTTCAACTCTGATGTCCATGTCTGTGTTGTCACAGTTCTCCATTATTTGCACATTGCAAACGCAGTTGCTGGGAACAGAGCGAGGAGAGGCTTGTTCACAAGTCGGGGCACAGGGGTGCTTGTTGGTCTGATCGCAATCATTGAGGTTCCACTTGATTTCACAGAGGTTTGTAGGATGCTGGGGGAGAGGAGGGAGGACAGGGAGGGGGAAGCACCGGCATTGCAGTAACTGGAACAAGCACCAAGTGGGGGCACAGAGAAGGTGGGTGGACAGGTTGAGCGTACTGCAAAAAGATGCAAGATTCAGCGGTGGCTCAGTAAAGGGGTGAAGGCAATCCAAAGAGTTTCTTAAGAGGAAGTAGGAGGGTAGGATTTGAGTCTATAGAACTCCTTCCATGTCTCTTCACCCTCAAAAGTTCAATTCACGATGCACTCCAACTCAGCTTTCTACTCCTCTCCCATCCAATTTTGCTTTCATACCATAGGCTGCATGGTTTCCTGTCATGCGTTTAATCCACTGTGCAGAGTCTGAAATGTGAGGCTGTAGTTCCTGATGGTATTTCCCAGAGACTCTGCTGCTCACAGGCAGAAGAATGAGATGGATTTTGTACTCCTGGATGGACTGGAAAATGTCCTTGGGTGGCTAAAAATGAGGAGAATTCCTACCCCCGTTCCGGCTCTCGGGTCCTTCTCTTGCTATCGGAGAAATTCTGGCAACTGTCCTGCCGAGCCTCTCTTTCCCTCCCTCGCTCTCTTAATACACAAGCAGACAGACACACGCACACACAATCCCTCCTCCCTCCACTCCCTGTCCTTTTTCTTCCCTCAGCCCAGCCCCTTTTCCCTCCGACTGCCAGACGAGGTGTCAGTGCTCGATTGTTGGCTGCTTGCGGCGCAATTTGCCAGGACTCTTTTTCTCTCTCAACCTACGTACGTGCGCATGCACACACATGCACTCATGCATGTAGAGGCACACGGAGCCCCCCTGCTCAAACACACACACACACACATGTACGCGCCCTGCAACACGTCACATGAATACTTAATGCACACCGGAGCCCTCTCTTCTTTTAGGGTCCCACACTTCAAACAGATTTGGTTAGTATGCCTACAGTGCATGCATGCATGAGCCCGAGTGTGCATGTGCGCTTCTGTATATGAGCGCACACTTCTACACGTTTGGATTTTTCTGTCATTGTCGAAGGATGCAATTAGCCAAAAGAATGAGACCAGAAATAGAACGAGTGGTATTAATCAAAAGTAGGAGACAGAGAGATAAGGGACACTTAAGTGCAGAAAGATAGATTGCTTGAATGAGTGATGTTTGGACGATACTGGCAAGCTGAGAGAGATTAAAAAAAGAGTGAGAGGTAGGGGAAAGAGGGGGAGAGGACAGACAATGAACAGATGAAATCTTTGAAAGGCAGATTTATGCTGGCCAGTGGGAGGGAGTGCAGTCAGTCAATGGTCAAGGGTAAAAAGGGGAATGAAAGCATGTGAGTGGGTGAGCGCTGGGGTGAGAGTACCCTGTATTCCCTGGGCTTCCAATTTACCAGTAAGCCCTCTCAGCCCCCGACCAGCCAGTCTTTTTGAAAGGCTGCTGCGCTGGCTGCAGAGTGCCTACTACAACACGTCGGCAAACCGGCCGAGTCTCGCTAGATCAAAGTACATTCGGTACAAAGCTTTCCGCGGATCTCCTCCTGACACAGTGACCCTTAAATGAACTCTGCTACATACCAAAAAAGCTAAACAAACAGAAAAATAAAACCAAAACTGCCTCCAAATACGAAGAGTGCTGCTAAATAATGAAGCAGTTTGATACATCACATAACCTTTACCATCTTCCTTGCCACAGCGATCTTACCTCTGCTTCTCTACAGCATGTCTACATTAATTTGCCCGAGGTTCTTATTTTAAAGTGCAAGGTTTGTTACATTTTTCCCCACCGCTGTGTCCCCTTGATTGTCAGCGGAAGACAATCCTAATGTCGACATTGGTCACTCTGACAGTGCAATTAGTAATTAGTCTCAGCCCCACCGCTGATACCCTCGGTGTGCCTTCACAAGTTATACATCAAAATGACATAAAAAGAGGGAAAAGTCACAGTTGGAACTGTCCTGATAGCCTCTCAGCTCCATCACTGTCTCCTTATGAACAGACCTCGGGGACAGATAATGATTACAATATCTATAAATGAGCCACAGCGAGTCAGACCTTTTTAAAAGGAAAATGTATCCAGGCTCCTTTGTTCCGAAAAGGATTCCTAGATGTCTTCCACACCTATCATGGGAGTAACAAAACAAGGAGGCGTAGAGGAGGTCATTGACAGCAGAACAGAGTGGAGGGGCTGTGTTTGCCTGCTGCTTTCAAAGCCTCGTGTTGGCCTGCTGTCAATAATCACTCCAGCCTTTTTATTCAAGCTTTGTCAAATTGGCTGGAGAAATTCTTCAGCCCCAGAGAATCATTAGCTGGCACACCCAGGAGCTTGTTTGAGCAAATGTGTGTGTGTTCTGCAGGCCAGCTATACATACATATTCTTCAGGTAGGCCTTTACTCTGGCTAATTACCATCTTCCCTGCATTTACTATTTCTGACATTTCCTTTCTCCGACTCTTCCCTTTTTTTCATTTTCCACAGACAAGATAAGGCTGTTCTGGCCATTCATACAGCGATCAGATTGCTGCCTCTGATATCACAATGATGCCACCAATACACACCCACACCCAGTGAGTCTCCC